AGAGAAGGGTAAGAAGAAGGCAGATGTAGGACTATATAGGGACTTAACAGGCCATGCTAAAGATTTAGATGTAATTAAAATATAGTGGGTAGCAATTTAAAATGTGAAGAACATGGTCATGTTTATTTTGAAATGATCAATCTGGCTACAACATGGAGACTAGATTAGGAGGGCCCCAGCTGAGATGGGAGTGGAGCTTAAGCCTAGGTGTGGCGATCTAGATTTCACATCTCTGCCTGCGCGCATTCATAAATTCCATGTACAGAACCCACGGGGCAAACTGAAAATGTCGCACTGAGTGTCCTGCTCAAGTGCAGCTATTGCAGAACCTAGTGTGGAGTAGTGCACCAGTAGATGTTCAGGCTGCCGCTGCCTCTGTTGAGAGATTGCTCTTTGATCACAGCTTGGTTTCAGGAGCTGTGAAAATGGTTACACATTCTGCTGTTTTTGTTTCTGTAGATCGATCGGACCAAAAAGCCAGCAGTCAGAGTGCCTGAAGAGCATAGAGTAAAATCAGAGAGCACGGACCACGAGCAGCAGTCTCCACAGAATGCAAAAGCCATCCCCGACCGCTCTATCAAGCCATCGTTTCCCTCTGCAGCTGCTGTGCTAACAGACGAAGAGAAAGTGCGGATTCACGCAGAAGCCGCTCTGCTCATGGAGAAAAGCAAGCAGGAGAAAGAGCTTCGCGAAAGGCAGCAAGAGGAACAGGAGAAGCTGAGGAAGGAAGAACAAGAACAAAAAGCCAGAAAGAAACAAGAAGCTGAAGAAAATGAAATCCCAGAAAGTCAACAAAAAGCAAAAGAAGAAATGGAGAAGAGAGAAGGTGAACAAGCCAAGAAGGAAGATAAAGAAACCTCAGCAAAGAGAGGCAAAGAAACAACAGGATTAAAAAGACAGAGTAAAAGTGAACATGAAACTTCCGATGCCAAGAAGTCTGTGGACGACAGGGGGAAACGCTGCCCGACTCCAGAAGCACAAAGAAAGCCCTTGGGCGACGTCCCCACGCCTGTGCCGGGAGATGCAGGCTCGGGCAAGGTGAGCAGAGCCAGCAGCCCAGGCGGCCTGGGGCTCGCTGATGGGCAGGCCTGGGAGTTGCTTCTCTGGGACCATCGATGGGCATGTGTGTCCACCTTTGCTCATTGCTCTCGTCTCTTTCTGGCATTGCTGGCCATTGAATTCAAAGCTTCAGGCTTGCTAGGCAAGTGCTCTAGTGCCGAGTTGTATTCCAGCCCCTTTGTAATTTTAGTTTGAGATAGAGTTTCATTAAATTGCCCGGGCTGGCTCAAACTTGGGGTCCTCCTGTCTCAGCCTTCTGAGTAGCTGGGATTGTAAGTGTGCACCATTATACCCAGTATCTACTCTCTGAATCCAGTGATATATGTGAAATGATTAATGTGCAGTAAAATTTATGTCACTAAAATGCAGTGTATTCTGGATAACTGAGATAAGCAGCTGCAGTCTTCATTTTTACATTTGATGTGTGATCATCAAAAGACTAGAATATCATCTGTCAGTATGGCGAACTTAGATGCCACTATTTGCGTGATGAAGTCTGTATCTGCCAAGAATGCATGTGAAATCAGTGGCGTCAAAACAGTCCAGTATCTGGGTACCACAGTGCAGGTCTGGGCAGGGGGATCACAGGTTGGGGCTCAGCCTGGGCAACTTAGCAAGACCCGGACTGAAAGGAAAAGGAAGAAGGGCTGTGTGTAGAGCTCAGGACTGAAGCAGCTCTCCCAGCACCAAGGGAAAACCCAGCCTTTATCTTCACATGGGCTCAGGTCTGTGTTGTTTTCTTCCCACTTTATCAAGTCACGTTGGCAAGAACGGAGCTCATGTTGCCCCTTTTCTGCTCTTGGCTACATACCCACAGTGCATTTCCATAATTTTAGTGGACATTTTTGTTGTTGCTGTTCTTTAATCTAATTATTATATACTTTTGTTTTTTCTTCACTATGCAATTAATAGTGACTTTTAGATACAAAATTACTTTTTTGTGTTTTTTTAATAGTAGAAACAGTTAATATCCCTTTTAGGGACATGATACTGGAAAACCATTTTTTAGTAATATGAAAATGACCTCTACGGGAGGCAAAATACTGTCTTCCAGAATGTCAGTGTCTGTATTTCTCTAGCAACAGGTTAGGCAGTAACTGGAATTAACAACCCGTACCAATGTGGAGCTTAACCAGGGAATCCTAGTAACCTCTAGCATAGAGAATAGAGCTGCTGTGCAGAAGCCTTCTAAACACCCCACTGGTCTTTCATTTACAAGTGAAGCTGATGCTTAGATGTTGGTTTTGTGTGGTGCTGGCTTGGTAGTCATAGGTTTCTTGAGATGCTTTTTTGTTATGGAAATACCTTATTTTTCCTTCAGTTTTGAAGGGAAGGTTTACAGGATATGTAAGTTAGGGTGGGAAGTTACATTTCACTTGGTGAAACATTTCACACTGGCCGTCAAGGTTTGTGTAGAGAAGTCTGCTCTGATCCCATGTGCTTGCCTTTGTGCAGGGTTCATCTCCTTTCTCAGAGCCTTTAAGGTCCTGTCCCTGGCTGGCTTTGTGGTGCTGAGTGGCCTGTGCGTGGGAAGTGGCTTTTGGTCCCTGGGGCTCCATGTGCCTCACTTATCCTCATGCTTGTTTCTTTATATTTGGGAGTTTTCTGCCATTATTTCTTTCTTTCTTTTTTTTTTTTTTTTCTAAAATTTATTTGTGTGTGTGTGTGTGTGTGTGTGTGGCCAGCTCAGCCCACCAGGGGGCGGGGCTGGCTAGCATGTGGTGCTGGGGGATTGAACCGCGGTCTCTGTGCTTTGCTAAGCTTGTTCTAAGTAGGTGCTTTAGACCACTGAGCCATCTCACCAGCCCCTGCCATTATTTCTGTGCACAGTTTTTTGTGGGTTTTTTTTTTTTTTTATGCCATCTGTATTGTCTCCTGAGTTGGTTTTTTTTATTCTTCTGAGTTTCTGACTGACTGTAATTACTCAGAGTGGACTTCTCTGCAGCCTCTAGCAGCTGCTGGATCCACTTCTGTTCTTCTGTTACTTCTAGGTGTCTGTGAGTAGTTGGTCTTTGAAGGCATCCGTCGTCTTCTAGTTCTGAAGTTCCAGCCTCACGTTGGTTGCTTCGGCTGCCCATACTTCAGTATAATTTTTAAGCTTCTAGATTTGATTGAAACCTTTTCATTGACTAACTCTTTTGCTAAACTGGTTTTTTACAGTTTTGTTATTCAGTTAGCTTTTTATTAGTATCTTCTGAAATCTGTTGGATCATTTTGGTTTTTATTTCCATCATCTGTTTAGTTACATATTCTGTGATCCTGCTCAGTATATCTTTGACATATCTCACCTGTTAGAGTAATTCCAGTGTGTGGCTTATGCTGTTCTCCCTTTCGTTGCCTCCTGGCTTGTCTTTGGGGAAGTTGGGAATTGTGCCAGGTGTTTTGTTGGCTCGTTTTCTCATGTTTCTGTTGTTTTCTGCTGAGCTTTGTGGACTGTTGTAATGTAACACATTGCTGGTATAGAGAGCCTCTTTTTTTTTTTTTTTTTGCAGAACCGGGGATTGAACTCAGGGTGCCAGGGAAGTGCTTATTCTACTGAGCCATCTCCCTGGCCCCTAGAGATCCTCTTAATTACTCACTTCTCAGCGGTGTACTGTGGGTATGACTGAGTAGTCCACGTCAGCTCCAAGATCCGACCGCCTTGGCTAAATAGGGAGGGAAAGATGCAGTGTAATTGGCCCAACACTGTGCTGTCTATTGGCCTGCATTTACTTGTTTGTTTTTTTAAAGAATTTATGAGTTTATTTAAGTATGTTGAATTTATTTATTTTTTATTTTAAAAATATTTTTATTGAGAAACAAATAGCAGAGATACTGTTTCACAACCAATTACTAGTACATTTTCAATAATTAATACATTGCATATTGTTGTCTTAGTGGTTATTCATTGTACAAGATGCAGACCTGATATCCTGTCTCAAACACTATTAGAACAAACCTCTCTATTCACTGAATTAAGAGAATGGAGCTGTATATCTATCCTATTTTGAGTATACAGATACAAAATTGTCATTCATTTGTATCCCCTTTTTTGCTTAGTCTTGTCAAAGAAGGGCATTCCATTGTCATTTAAATATTGTAGGTGCATGAATTCAGCAAAATATTCCAATATAGTCCAGTAGTCCATAATAGTAGTGAGTTTTCCGTAAGATTGACAATGTCTGAAGTTGTTGACTCGAGCATTTTACAGCTCATCATATTAATATGGCTTTACTTTTTATACTTCATTTTCATACTTTTCTGCTGGATGGTTAAGACCAAGAAAGAGCAAGACCTATGTAACAAGAAATGTAACTTTTGTGTCTGAGAAAGTCAGTCAAATCCTCTCAACATTTAACCTGAAACTCTGTACCTCAGTTTGTAGATCCTTTGTCAGTGTCAGCCATATGGATGAGTCACGGCCATTGCTTGCCTAATTTGTTCTTTGACTTTATTTTTAATAAATACAAATATATAAAAGAATAAGGAAGATTCTTCTTTCATTAAAATGCTAATAAATAAAAGGTAGCAAAGAATTACACAATTAAAAAGTTAACATTTTGCAACCATTATACTAATAATTGATTTAGGGAAGAATTATTATTATTATTATTATTTTTTTTTTTTTTTTTTGCGGAACCGGGGATTGAACTCTTATCCTACTGAGCCATCTCCCCGGCCCCCCTAGGGAAGAATTATTAATCAGTGCTAAAACTAGTGGATAAAAACTTGGCAAGGAAAGAAAAATTTACATAATTTTGAAATATTGCCCCAGAAGTTATTTTGTTAATTAGGGACAAATATTTGGGGACGAACAATTAGGAACAAACATTAACTTTATGAAGGCTAAGTGGACGTGGCCATTGTAACCACTGGCATGACGAACCATCATCATGTGCCTCTTGATACAAAGCGCCAGGAACAACATTTGGTTTACATAGTTTGTCTGTTAAAAATATATGTAAATTATCAGCGAACAAACCCACACCTAAGGACAGTCTACAAAATATTTCCATGTCTGTTAGGAGCCTGATTAAATGGCATACAGAGTTGCATTGCCAAATCTTGCCACATGATGTCGCCATAGTCCTACAAGTCAGCACATTCTGTAAATTCTATGGTCCTGCTTGTCTTTATTTATTTATTTTCCATAATTTTATTGAGAAACAAATAGCAATGAGACAGTTTCAAACCAAATTGGTAGGACAGTTTCAATAATTAACACATCGCATACATTCTTCCTAATGGTTAATTGCTGTACAAGATGCGGACATGATATCCTATTTACAAACACCATTAGAACAAATCCCTCGGGCTGGTGAGATGGCTCAGTGGTCTAAA